CAGGGCAACAATTCCTATATATTCCCAGGACTGGCTTTGGGAGTGATTGCATGCGAGGCGGTTCATATCACAGACAGTATGTTCCTTACTGCAGCTGAAGTAAGTGTAATGTTGGGATAGGGCGTTTGCATGATCGTGTCATTTGACTCCCACTACCAGAATCCATTGAACGCTTTCTTTTGTCCGTTAAATAGCACCAATTGTCTTATTATTCTTACGAAGGAATACWAATTTGAAGAAAAGAAATTATAACATAGCCAAGATATAACGCGCGCTCTGATTGGTTCATTAGCATGTGGGAGCGTGCAKCCAGAAAGGGATGGTGCACGCTGACGTGATTGAGTCGCGTGCGCTATGCAATGGAGATTCCAATAGAGAAAAATTTCAATGTTTTTTGATCAAAAAATATTCTTTTACAGTTTTGATATGTTATAAAAGCAATGCTCAATGCTTAGTTGTGCGTCTATCTAGTTCTAGATAAACGCAYGCCAAGCATTGACCATTCCTTAATTCGCAAAGCACCTTGGTAGTGGGAGTCAAATGAAGTCATCATGCAAACGTCCTATTTCACATGAACATCTCATCCCTTCCAGTGACACTCTCATTTCAAATTGAATGTCATTTTTTCCCCAGTCCCTGGCAGATCAAGTGACGCAGACGCAGCTTGACAAAGGTTCCCTCTACCCTCCCCTGGGTGAGATCCGTCAAGTCTCCATCAAAGTAGCAACGAAAGTAGCCGAGACGGCTTATCGGGAGGGGCTGGCTTCTGAACTAYCGGAACCGGAAGACAAGGAGGAATTGGTCAAACAGCATGTCTATGACCCCAGCTACATGTCTTACATCCCGTTGACCTATGAATACCCCACATCCCAAGGTCCTAAAATATAAAAACTCTAATCGGCAATGAGCTTTTATCGGGTATTTTTAAACTATCAAAACAGAAAAATAACTACTATAGCTGGAAAGAGCRTATTAAAATCAATCAAACTGTGAAGTTTAAAGGAAACGAGCTTAAGACTTGCGAAGATTATTTTTCTGTCCAATTCGTCATCTTGGGATTACTTGATAAAAGCTTATTCAACACGGATTTTAGTCACTTTGTTCAAAAGTATTTTTTTAGCGAATTCTAAAATAATTTTATTACCCGCTTTGGAGGTTGTTTATAGGTAGGGAGACCCTTGTGCTATTAAAGGTTTTAGTTTTCTTATCCAAGTAACGTCGAAAATGAAAGGGTTAGCTCTAGTCGATAGCATGTCGCATAGGGTCAAATCACCTTACCTTCTCGCGGTATACGCGGCCTCTAAATTAAGGCCTGGTTTTCACTTGTGACAGAATCGAAGTCGGTTTCGGAAGCAGCAAATATTAATGATATTGATGATGATAATTATATTGATATTGGTGATGGTAATGATCATCATGATGATTATATTGATATTTGTGATGGTAATGATCATGATGATATTGATGATGATGTTAATCTCTACGTAGGTTCGTTATTCAAGAAAATAAAAGATTTGAAAGTAACGGAATGCTATACAAATCGATTTATTTTGGAGAAAAATAAGCATTGAGCACGCTCACTTCTAACTGTCTGTCTGTCTGAATATTATTTTCAGCAGTCGTTTGATTCGGAAAGGAAATGGAACTGTTTCCTTTTTGTTCTGATTTCTTGAGTTAGGTAAGCTAGCTATTGCCCTGGGCTCCAGAGGTTCTATTCGCTTTTCCCGGAACATTGAACGAGCGAGCGCCGAGAATGCAATAACCTCTGGGCCCCAGGGTAGCTAGCTATTGGCAATGGCCATATGGTGTGAAGGGAGAGTGGGAGGGGTTATTTYAATAGGGTGAATAGACTGAATTCCAAAAAAAAGAAGGCATTGGATGGTAGGGAGATCACACTTGACCAGTTATAAGCTACTCCGGTTATGTGCCCTCGTCTGGTACATTACGTGAATGGTGAGATAAGAAATGACAAAATCAGAATGCAAAAATAAAATAACCTGGAAAAATAACTATTTCCATTCGTTTTATTTTTTTCCCTTCCGCTTATGAGCGTCCACGGCCCCCCGGATGTAAGACCGATGTAAGCCTAGAGATCTAGGTCATTAGGTCAACATAAATAAACTTTCAGTGCTGAGGCCGCTGAGGCCGCTGAGGCCGATATATATAATATAATAGTATATACAGTCAATGTCATTAACGTTGTCCACCGAAAAAAGACATTTACCTAGATGAGCCTAGATCTTGGAGAGAACTCAGAGACTAAATATTTAAATAAATAAATAAAATTAAAAAAAAGACATTTACACATTTAGACTAAAAGAAATATCACGTGTTTCCTCGAAGGTTCTGGCATAAAACAAACGCTGAAATACCATTCTCCATCTTAAATCCTCACTAAATGGTCAGGGCATTCTGGATTTTCGATTCACGAGTTGAATTTTACATTTAAAGTTCAGGCTTACGCACACGAGGCAAAGAATACATAATGAAACACGTGATATTTCTTTTAGTCTAAATGTCTAAATGTCTAAATGTGTAAATGTCTTTTTTTGGTGAACAACGATAATGACATTGACTGTATACATAATAGTACGAGCTGATAGTACGAACCGATGAACCTAAGATAATGATTCGAAGGAAATACGACTCAATTCCGAGTGCTTTCCGAATCCCATGAACCGCGGTGATGGATGGGAAGGGTATGTCCGCCATATTGGGTGTTCGAGGGAGGGATTTTGTTTCCGTGTGAACTTGAATATTTAACTACCGAAAACCCGGCCAGCCATTTTACAAAAAAGCCCGAAAAATAGAACCATTCGTGGTTCCTCTTTCTGTTTAACTCTCCGTTGAATTAACTTTCCAAAATGCCTTTAATTAAGCGACTTATTGAACCGACTGAGTTGAGTCGCGGGAAGCTTGGAAGTCAACAACTGGCGAGCGAACTTGAAGCTGTCTCTGTCAATACTTTAAGTGGAATAATTCGACAACTAAGCAGCCTTTCCAAACATGCTGAAGATGTATTTGGAGAGCTATTCTCTGAGGCTTCTAATATCAGTAAACGGTCGAATTCTCTGCAAGAAAGGATACAGAAATTGTCTATAAAAGTCACACAGCTAGACTCCGCCGGCGAACAGAGTAAGCTTTCATTCTTCCACATAAAATTCTTAAATTGTTGAATCTTATTCTATATTTTAATGCAACTGTTTTAAATGTTATGTCTTATTTAAATGTCTATCGTTTTGATTCTTTTAATTTGGTACAATTGTTGGCTAAAACAATTWAAAAAAATCCGTGGTTAAAATGAGTTGAAAAGTTCATTCCCTAATTAGGTTGTTGTTGATATTTCTTTGAATAGTTTCATGCTTTCATTTTCTATTCTAAAATACRAACGTCCCTTGTAAAAATCGCTGAAGATCTCAGATATATGTTTTTAATTTCAATCTAAATGATAAGTGTCTTTCTATGATTGATGAATTGATTTGTTGGGCGTTCTCTATGCGTTTCCGATTTATGGAAGAGCTCATTTGATCATTCAAATATTGAAGGCATTTTACAGTATTGCCTATTAAGGGCTTATCTAGACTTCATTTATTTAATCGATTTAGACCTGGTTAATACTATTCGATAAAAAGCTTTAAAGGGATAAAGTTATATTKTCATTAATCAGTCATATTTTAATAATTTCTTAATTTGCTTGCACGTAACATCATGCCCACCGTTTTGGTTACATACATTAACGAAATGATAGTGGTATCTGTGTTGAAGAATGGTGATGTTTATGAATGTTACGATAGGGATGTTGACATTTGAAAATCCCCCCTCCCCCCC